TGAGCATAACATCCCCACTGAAGATTATTGGTTAGCTAGTGTATGAATACAAACAAATGCTGACCATACAAACATAAAGCCAGAGGGAGCCCAATGGACAGAGGCCAACCCCTGAGAGTCTTGGATCATACGTAACATCCACTCCCGTACATCAGTCTAGATATAAAAGCCTAGGAAATCAGACAGACTGGGGAGTGCCCTGACCAGCAAACTCTAAGTCACGGGCATCAGCTACTTTTTATTAGGTGCTTCTTCAATGTTTCCTAATACATGTCTTTGGAGAAAGCATTCCGGCTCCGAGATGGTTTTAATTTATCAGCATTAATGTTTTAAATTCTAGAGAAAGCAGCTCAGGCAACGTAGGCCCCAGGAAAGAAAAAGAAAACACGCAGGCAAAAAAGGCATTCTAGAATCACAGCTCCTTAGAGTTAGACCTGAATTCAGTTCACCTGTAAAATGAGAAAAATACATGACTGGCGCCGTAGAATATTCCAACCTTTCCTATCTAAGTTAGACCATGAAAGGTAACTCTGATCACCAACTTCCTATGTGTGTATGGGCACAGAGAGATTCCCCACCACCAACAGGCAGGTCTCCAGACCCCAGCTGGGTGTCCTATGATCTAATTCAATTCTGACACTATCTGTGGATAGCATCAGAGTAAGGGTTCGGTTCGCTAAGACTGCCCTCTAGTTCATATGCCAATCTCAAGCCCAGGTTTTTCCTATGCTTCTGGACCCAGGGGCTATACTCAAAGATTCTAACAGCCCTCTCCTTGGGTTCTATTAATTTGCCAGATTGGCTCACAGAGCTCAGAGAGACATTTTACTTACTAGATCATCCATTATTACAAAAGACTGTAACTCAGGAACAGCCAGAAGGAAGAGATGCAGAGGAAAGTGTATGGGTGAAGGTCAAGGAGTTTCCAGCTCTCTCCTAGCCGGCCTCTTTCCCCAAATCTCCACTTGTTCACCAGCCTGGAAGTTCCCCAACCTTGTTTAGGGTTTTTATGGAGGCTTCATCACATAGGCATTATTGATTCAGTTGTTGGCCATCGGCGATTGAACTCAATCTCCAGCCCCCTCCCCTCCCTGGAGGTGAGGGGCAGCACTGAAAGTTCCAACCCTCTAATCACAGGCTTGGCTCCACTGGCGACCAGCCCCCATCCTTTTTTTTAAAATTTTTTATTGTTATGTTAATCAACATACATTACATCATTAGTTTTTGATGTAGTGTTCCATGATTCTTGCGTATAACACCCAGTGCTCCATGCAGAATGTGCCCTCTTTAATACCCATCACCAGGCTAACCCATCCCCCCCCCCCCCTCCCCTCTAGAACCCTCAGTTTGTTTTTCAGAGTCCATCGTCTCTCATGGTTCGTCTCCCCCCCCGATTTCACCCCCCTTCATTCTTCCCCTCCTGCGATCTTCTTTTTTTTTTCTTAACATATATTGCATTATTTGTTTCAGAGGTACAGGTCTGTGATTCAACAGTCTTACACAATTCACAGCGCTCACCATAGCACATACCCTCCCCAGTGTCTATCACCCAGCCTCCCCATCTCTCCCACCCCACCCCCCCGCTCCAGCAACCCTCAGTTTGTTTCCTGAGATTAAGAATTCCTCATATCAGTGAGGTCATATGATACATGTCTTTCTGTGATTGACTTATTTCAACCAGCCCCCATCCTTAAGTCAAGTCCAAAAGTCACCTCTTTAACTTAACAAAAGACACTTTATTGGCTCTGATCATTGAGTAAATTCCAAGGGTAAAGAGGAGGTCTGTGCCAGAAATGGGGATGAAGACCAAATATATACTCGTTATTGTAAATCACAGTCTCAGGCTAGAACTCTAAATTCTTAGAAAGCCACAGAATCAACCAAGACTCCTGGGTTGAAGCCTTGGCTCCATGGCGGATTTTCTGAGAAGAATCGGGGCTCAACATTACTGTGGAAAGTTCTGGGTGCTTGATTAACCTCAGGGCTCAGCCAGCCAGTCTGATCTAGAAGCACTGCTTGAATAAGGGAGATCGTCAGTTCGGAATCCTAGATGACTTTCTTCAGGTGATGGGGGACTGGAGCAGGGGTCTAATCATTACCCCTCCCTGCCCCCCCCCGCTCAAATGACCCGAGTTCTAGGGCCTCTGACTTCCCCAGGTTTTGAACTTGGACTGCCTCAAGGCCTTTCTGTTCTCCCAGAAAGTCTCTGTGAAGACCCAGCTACCTTCTCAGGGGACTCCAATCTCTTGCCTTTCTCTCGAGAATCTCTCTCCCTCTGGCCTCATGAAATTTGTGAAATCAACCTTTAAAAGGACAGGCACATTATCTTCCAAAGGCAACGTATGTGTTAAATATTTATAAATAAGGAGAAAAATAATTGAAAATTCATGCTTAAGGTGGAAAGCCACTTACATGGTTTGTCACTTAACCTCGTAAGTTGTTACAAGCGTCATCCCCATTTCCTAGATGAAGAAACTGAGGCTAACCGACTGTACCTTCAAGTAGGGGCTGAACAGACAACTCTAGATGGGGTCCTGTTTGGCTGCGGTGCCCGTGCACCTTTCTTCGCAACACATGACATATTTTGACTCTGTTGACTTGAAATATAAATCGTGAGTTTGGAAATCCATATGTTACCGACAGTTAAAAACGATTCCTTTTTTCTAGCCAACTCCCATAAGGTACAAAGTCGGAGATATGATGGTCCCCACCGCAGTGTGGACTGGGGGTCAGGACTGGCTTTCAAATCCAGAGGACGTGAAGACACTGCTCTCTGAGGTGACCAATCTCATCTACCATAAGAACATTCCTGAGTGGGCACATGTGGATTTCATCTGGGGCTTGGATGCTCCTCACCGTATGTACAATGAGATCATACATCTGATGAAGCAGGAGGAGACCAGCTTCTCCCAGGGAAAGTGCGGGATCAGGCTGTGAAGCATCCGATACTGATGAGTCTTAGGATTTTTCAGGATTTCCAGAAATTAGAAACCTCCCATATCAGTAGAAGGGGGTGGGGAAGGGAGGGCAGAGATATAATACCCATTCCTTCAGAGTTCCTGTATTTGACACTAAAACGGACATTTAAATTTTTTTTAGCTAGTTAAAATACTCATTGGGTGAACATAGGTTTCATGTGTTATATATTCTGCCATCCTGAAGAGCAGGTTTTACCTGACAGCCAGAAGTTAACTAGGACTCTTTATGTCATTCAGGTAGACCCCTTTACAATGTTAACTTTTTTTCTAGAAGCCATATTTTTGGAACAGTCAAGTAAAATGACGGATTGGGACAGAGACAGGTCTTGAATGTCTGGATTGTTGTAACTACAACAAAATAAGCTAGACATTTTCACCTTATTGCCATAGAGACATCACGCTACCTCAGGAAGCTGAGCTGTTTTAGGAAAGAAAGAGAGAGAGAGATGGAAAAAGAACAGTATGGACGAAATATATTTTAAGCATCATTAAAAAGGGCCAAGTTTTATAGTTGAGTCTCAGAGGAAATAATCTGGTAAGATATTTAGTGACTTTTCCAGCAAGTACATTATGCCCTGCATGGAGCACGTCTGTGTTTCAGTACCTAGTGCCAAGTCCAAGTTCATATGAGAGTTTACTGCCTGAGGCTACCAATATCCGGCCCCGTTTTTCCCCTTCAAAAATTAAAAACTGGGAAGAAAGCTTTAGAAAGTCATGAGCATAATGACACAAACTGTCATGTGTTCTATCCTTTGATCTTGACAAGTACCCAGACTCATCCACAAATCTGGATTTATTTCTTTAGAAAAATGTTCAATGTTCACACAGTTTCAAAGATGACAGTTATAAATTACGTGAGTGAGAGTGTAATTTTGCAAACCAGATTGAAGGTATACTGGTGCGTGAAGTTCGCTTGTTTATTCAATCCCCCAGAGTCACCTGCTAACTTCATTCAATGCAAATCTGTCTTAAATACTTTAAGAGACACTTAAAGGCTTCAGAATCTATATCCACACCCTACTACTTCCCTCACAAAACGTGTACCTTAAGGCTCTGTACATAGTTCAATAAATACTCCTGGACTGGATTTTCATTAAACCCTTATTCTGTTCAAGGATGGTAAATCATTCTTTCTTAGACTGTTTATTTGTTACCACATATAGTGTGGCTTAGTCCATGTCTGAAGATATTAATGACTCAGTCTTGCTTTGCAAAATTCAATCATCTTTAAATGTGTTTCTTTCTTTTCTGTCTCGCTGACAAAGGACTTGAGAAATATTATTTTGATATTCTCTCTCTCCTCTAGAAGTATAATCCAGATACCATCACACCCTATTGCTCTATTTCTTGTAAAGAAATTCTTTGTCTAGATGGACTCTGAAAAACAAACTGAGGGTTCTAGAGGGGAGGGGGGTGGGGGGATGGGTTAGCCTGGTGATGGGTATTAAAGAGGGCACGTTCTGCATGGAGCACTGGGTGTTATGCGCAAACAATGAACCATGGAACACTACATCAAAAACTAATGATGTAATGTATGGTGATTAACATACCATAATAAATATTTTAAAAAATTTAAAAAAAGGAAATTTTACCAAAGAATATAAACAGAATGAACAACCTTAGTAGCTACTTTGCATTCACAAGAGAATCAGAAAGATATTTTTGAACAAACATCTTAATCTTTTCGTAATTTTGTTCAAAATCAAAAGCAAAATGTCTAGAGGTATGCTGGTTAAATTGGCTCTCTGGAGGGGTGTGTGGGTGGCTCAGTAGGTTAAGTGTCTGCTTTTGGCTCAGGTCATGATCTCACGGTCTTGGGATTGAGTCCTGCATCGGGCTCCTTGCTCAGCGGGGAATCTGCTTCTCCCTCTTCCTCTGCCCCTCCCCCTGGCTGTGCTCTCTCTCTCTCTCTCTCTCTCTCAAATAAATTTAAAAAAAAAGAAATTGGCTCTCTGGAAAGAAAAAGAAAAAGCTCTGACTTGTAGCATTTGCCAATTACTGTGGCATAAATACTCCCTCCCCTGACGACTGATGGATGATTTTATTGACGTTGTTTTACCAAGTAAATATTTACGTATGAAGCTCACCTCCCATCCCCCTAACATATCAGTCTATACAAATATGGATACTTTGAATCTTCCTCTTACTACTCAAAAAGGACGGAGAGAAAGAGTTGTCTTCTGGGCATGATATCCACAGCCTCTTGGTAAGAGCCACACAGCTGAGAAAACCGAGCCAGGTAACTCTGATCCTCTTCTTCGGAAGAGACTGAGTTTGAAACGTCACCTTTTTTTGGACCAAAATGGAGGCTCCAGGAGCTTTAGTGTTTCTCCTAGAAGGATCGTGACCATGGTGAACTCCACTGGGCAAAAGAAAATTCTAAATACAAAGCTCTTCCAAAATGTTAACTATGGAAACCACCATTATGGTTACCAAAAAATCATAGCATCCAGGTTCAACGGTCCACAGACCAATTGTCCAAAATGGAGATAGAATCCAGTCCTTTAACTTTTTCTACTTCTCCATGCAAGGCCACAAAGATTATGATGCTTTCCTTAGCATTAATTCAATCTGGGAAAACTTTAATCTCCGCGCAATATCCAGGGAACTCTCACCACGCTGAAGAGAAAAAGAAACTAGAGTTATTTATCTCCAATACAGTCCAACGTCAAAGCAAAAGGTCTAGCGAAGAGTCCAGACTGACTGACTCACATGCTTGGTAAGGGCTTTAAATGTCATTCGGCTCCAACAGTAATAGGATAACTTCATTGCTTAATGAGGACAATTAGTTTTGCTGTTAACAACATCAGAGGCAATTAATTCACTTCAATACAAAGTTAAAATGAGAAGATGATGCTGCTGGAAGAGACTTCAGACAACGGTCCACAGATGCTTACCTTGTTCTTGATCATGGGGTCAGCACGAGCTTCCAGCAGCAGAGGAATAAGGGTCTGGTTTTTCATTTGGCAAGCATAATGTAGCGCGGTGCAGCCATCCTGAAACAGAGGACCGACGCTGCGGCTAGTCAGTGGGCTCCACCGACCCTAGCAGGTGTCGTGTCACATCTCACAGCCTACAGCTAAGCAAACCAGTCGCAAGTCATCTATGCACAACTACATTTCTCGTACTTAACACGCCTTTCCCACCTCAACGTGCATATAATTCATGTCCTATAAGCCCTTAAGATCTTCCTCTCTCATTTTCTGTTCCCAACTTAAACAACGCTACTGCCGAATTATCTCAGGGATTCTTGGTAGGATTCCATATGTCTGGGCGATGACCCCCTTGATCATCTTGCCATCTTTTCTCCCAACGGGTCCCCTCATGGGCCTTTTTGCAAATATCATCCTCTGTGGTTGTTGATTAAAGTCCCCACAAGCTGAAGAAGGCAGCTGCGCTCATACTGTCCTAGCACAGTGAGAGGAGCAGCGCAGCTCTATGGAGAAGCCGCCCATACAGGTTTCCTGGAGCTTGTATTCTGTGTTCTAAAATAGTGGATCTGCTCTGTTGGTACCAGTTTAAAACACTAACTCCAAGTGATAAGAAATGTACAGCTAGGGTGTTTGTGCCCCCCAATTTTGCTTTTCAAAATGCAGCCAAGCAACCGTGGCTTTGGTATGTGGACGAAATATCAGACCTTATTAACTCTTCTGAGATCATAGTGAATAATGTTGCGATCACTCATTTTTATTAAGTGGTGAGATGGTAAGTGGAAGATCTGGTGCTGAACGTTCCCATGTGAAATAAAGAGTCTAATTCCCTAAAAATACAATGCACCACATCACTTAAAGGTGGAAAAACGATCTGAACATTCCGTTTTAGAAAAATGGCGGGGAAGGTGTGCCTGCGTGCATATAGGGGCACACGAGTGTGCACAGGAACGTAATCATCCAGCTAGAGACACACTGAGAACGAGAAAAATATCCTAGAGCAATTTTCATTACAAAGTTTTCAACCTTTTGAATTTAAATGAGAAGACCAAGAAAAATCTTCAACAAATCTTTTACCTAATCTTTAATAACATCTTACTTAATACATTTCAAAGTTATCTAAGGAATTGGTGGAGCACAGTGGTCATCTACTCCAATTAATCCAAAAATCCTATTTTAAATAAAAGGAAAAACATGCATTTCATAAACTTATTCTCTTGTGTTCTCCCCCCACACACACATACACACATGCACACACAGGCACATGGAGCTACCTCCATCTAAACATACAATACCAATATAACCAAAACTAAGACGATGTAAATAATGAATAGAAACAGCGATGGGCACATTTTCTCCATCACGAAACAAAACGGTAACACACACGCACGCACACAGATACACACAACATAAAATGAATTAGGGGCCACAAAGAAAATATTGGTTCTTTTCGACTCAAATTTCAACTTGCCTACTTTTTCAATACAGAATTGGGAAGTCAAAATTTCATCCAATCAATAGAAGCAAATAAAAGTTCATACAAATAAACATTTGATCCATTTATGATCATTTAAGCGAGGAAGAGGCGTGCAGGGGCGAAAGGTGAAAACAAAACCTGATATTTAGAAACAGGAAGAAGTTAGGGGCTGCCGCTCGGCGGTCACTGCCCTCAGCACCACCTGGGCTCTGTGACCTTGATCCTTACCGATCTAGTTTACAGATGGGGCCTCTCTTACAGGTGGGCTGGGAGTTTGGCTGCAGCGGCTGGTACTCGCTGAGCTTACTAAGCGCCAGGCACACAGCCTTGCAAGATGGGTGCTATCAACGTCCTCACTTTACAGGTGAGAAAACCGAGAGTCCAATAAGTTTATGCCTGGCCACAACACACACAGACAAAAAGTGACAAGCCTAGACTGACATGTAGGCATTCGGCCTCCAGCGTCTTAACTACGGAGGATGGAAGTTTCTTTTTTTTTTTATTCTTATGTTAATCCCCATACATTACATCATTAGTTCTAGATGAAGTGTTCCAT